AATTAAATACCCATTTTCTCCTTTATCTAAAATACTGACTTCAAAATAAAACAGTCCGCATTGTGGAAGAATTGGAAAATCCGTTCGTATCGCTGCAGAGTCTGCTTTTTCACCTGGTCCTTAATATATCGAAAAGTTCTCGTAAGATATTTATTGAATTGTTATATATCCGTTATTAAACATTCAATAACATGGCTAAATATTGCGCATTATTTTAGCGTCTCCAAATTAAGACCAGTAATTGATCATAGTAAATTCCTAAGTTCAACTCTAGGTCTTAATTTTTAAATGTTCATCTAAATAAGATACCGAATAGCAATTGGGAAAAATAGTTTACTCAAAAATAACTACCCCTTTATAGAAAGTGAAAAATTGCCTATTTACGAAGGTCCCAATCGCCACATGAGTCATCTACGAGGACAATCGCCGTTTGGCATTTGCATTCAACTAGCGATTTTCCTAGCAGATGACCCACAAGTAAAAGATAAAATTCTATGTAAAATCGATATTGATATATTAAATAAAATTGCTAGAGATCAGGATACACCAGTTATGAAAGGTTGGCAAAATACGAAACTTATTTGTTCATACATATACGTATGATCCTTTACTTATTGCAGTTTGCAAAATTCTGTGAATTTTGCAGAATCGCTCGATTAAATGGTTTTTGATTTTTAAGGACTCCGATATTGAATATGAAATTATCTTGGTGTAGTTTTAAGAAATCAGAAATCACTCAACAATCGAATGATTTCTTCTTTTTTTTTTTTGATAAATTCACTAACTTTCATAAATTGCTAATTCCAATTTATGTAAAAAATTATATCTTTTATAATTAGACACGATCATCTATTAATTATTTTGAACTAAAGATTTTATAGATTTTGGCCGAAGAAATAGTGATATATATATTTTGGTAGTTCAACGTTCATAAGAAGTTTAAATATGCAGGTAAACCGGTTTGATGTTCTTTTATTTTTATTATTTTAAGATTTTAATGTAGAT